GATGATGGAAAGAAGAAGAAGATTAAAAAAGATACCAGCCTGAACTGCATAGTGAGACCTTGCATCAAAAAAAAAAAAAAAAAAAAAAAAAAAGAATGACCCTACAGCAGCAGACCCTGGAGAAGTTTTTTAGATCACTGTTTTTCACCTCAGATGGGATTTTTCCCAAATACTACATCTGAATCTCAGAGGCCCTCACCTGACATATGTTTTCTCTCAGACTCAAGCTATGGCTGTAGATGGAGCCAATGTTTTTACACTCCCATGGGTAGCATTAGTCAATGCCTCCCCACTGTCACCTGCTGCCACCACAGCATGGAGCAAAGGGGGCTCAGGTGAGCCCTGGGGTTCTTCTCAGCTCCTAATGGCTAACTGTCCAAGTCATGTGTTTTTAGTTTGGTTACACAAGGCCTAAGAGACGACTACAGAACAGGATTAGTTGGCAACCACTGACAAAAGTACATTCAAGCAGTATGGCTACTGAGTCTAAATCTGTTAGACTCCAATTAAAATTATATATTTCTTTTTGTTATTGTTATTTAGTTATGTTCTACATTTCTTCTTTTTAAGGCATGTGCTTATAATTTTTAAGAGTCATAAAGCCCTTTGAGAATAAAATGAAAGCTATGAGTCCCCTGCCTAGAAAATTGCTCACGAACATAATATTTTGTTTACTCCAGGTTAAAAACTCCTGCTATAAGCAGAGAAACTCTCTACCCTCCGTTTGGGTTGGAAATGATCTGATTTATTCTAGGCACTATATCCGAATGAGGATGAAATATGTAGGTTTTTTTCAGTGACACCTCAAGGGTCTACCTTGGATGTTTTCTTTCTCCTGGTTCCTCAGAGCTAGAAATTGCTTGGATTAGGCCTCTGCAATGCAGCTAGAGGAGGATGTGGTTTCCCAAAGGTAAACCTGGCCAAAGGCAGTGCTCTTGACAACAGAGCATGTTGTCACCTGCAATAGCATGTGTGTGTGTGTGTGTGTGGGGGGGTTACCTTGTCTTTTGTTATTATCTGCATGTGTGTGTGTGTGTGTGTGTATGTGTGTTTGCGTGTGTATGTGATGTGGGATTGAACTTGGGGCCTTCACATTGAGCTATATCTCTACTACACATCCCCCCTTTTTGAGACAGGGTCTTGCTAAATTGCCTAGACTGAGATCAAATTTGAGATTCTCCTGCCTCAGCCTCCCAGGGTTGTGGAACTACAGGTGTGCACCACCATGGCCAGCTTGTTATCCTTTCAAATTTGTTCCTCTTCCTTTCACCCCAGATGTTGGGTAGTGTGCATACCTGCATACACACACATGTTCACTGTGTAGACCACCGGTATGTTACATGACATGCACAAAAATTAATTGCCCCACTCTGTCAACAGACAAAGAAAAGTGTCTTATGCCTCCACAGATAGGTCTCACTGTTGCTTTCTTGTGACCTCCTATAATGACTGCCCTTGAATATTTCTTGGGATAAAGTGTAGAAAGAGGGCCCAGGGCTCTTGACCCCAGTGTAAGGTTCTAGTTTCATGTTCAACAGCCAGGGTCTGTCCTCTGTGGTCACATACTTCCTGTCTGGTCTTCTAAGCCATACTTCATGCCATCACTTTTCATTTATTTGTTAGTTGTTTTGGTGGCACTGGGGATTGAAGCCTTCTCACTAAGCTACATCCTCAACCATTTGTTTGTTTGTTTAGTGAGAGGGTCTCACTAAGTTTCTAAATTGCCCAGGCTGGGTTGGAGCCTATGCTCTTCCTGCCTCAGCCTCCCAGAGTGCTAGGAGTGCTCCACCTTGCCCAACTATACATTAACCGTCATCCAGCAACTTTACTAAGGATCTACGAGGCATGAGCTAGGGGCACAAAGATGCAATATCCAATCACTTTCATGGGGAAGCACATTCATCAGCGAGGAGTATGTTTCGAAAGGCCAGTTGATCATGTCACCTTTCAACTTAGAAACTTTCAGGCTTGCTAATGGTGACAAACTCCAGACTCCTCAGCAAAGAAGTCAGGGTACACTAGGACCGTACCTCAACCTCCTCTAGCATCATCCCTTCCCTCTTCGTGCTCTGTCCAGACACTCTGAACACTTTACCACTGAGAACATGACCCCAAACCTTGATGCTTCTTTGCATATGTGGTTTTTCTGACCCTGGTCATCTGAATCCTAATCACAATAGTACATAACAGATGCTCAATAAATATTTATTAAATCAATGAAGAGAATGAATATAGTAGGGGAGGGGATAGCAGCATAAGGATTAAAACTAGTGGAGTTGTACAGCAGAACTCAGAACATTAGGATCTGGGAACTGGGGTAATACTCATGATTACCAGATTTTTATTTGGAGTTTATCGATCAGAATAGGATTGAGTTTCTCTGCTGACACATAATTCCTCCACCATACATGAATATCATTAGAGGAGGGAATCTCAGGAAAGAAGATATAGGTAGATTTACATATGAACGCATCTTATAGTCAACCAGTTAAAATCAAGGCAAGAACTATAATGCGTTGCAAAGTGCTAGTGCTCAATAGGGATGTGATTGTTAGGTGTTGATTTTACAAGCTTGAAGCATTTGGCAATGGAACAGTTATCCCCGAATACTGACGCGAGTTGAGGGCGGCCCGAGAGCTCTCCAAGACATCTCCATCTTTTTCATGCATGGGGCTGCTCTCACCTCTTGTAGCACGGTTCCTTCTTCAAGTCTCAAGCGCCGCGGGTTGCCATAGCTGCACAGGTCAGCTTTTTCTTTGCCTCGTTCCAGCCCCCACCTCCCAGTTTCCAGTAGTCCAATCACCATCTAGAAATCCTGTTGCTGGCATCCGGGGTCTCTTAGGCAACAATGTGTGGTCTCTTGATTGGCCAGGGCATCTAAGAGGGCTGGCCCCAAAACTGGGCACAGAGATAAAATAAAAAGGTGTGGGCACCAAGCGAGTGAGAGGGGCTGCAACATCCCCACTGCTAGTGACAAAGACGCATCCAATCCTGAAACAAGCAGCTTTGAAAACCTGCACTCAAGACAAGTCACAGTTGTGGTCCTCATCAGTTCTCACCTACTGAGCATGTCCCGTAACATTGTTCTGGCATTCCGGAGCTCCGAAATGCAAACTCCACTTTGCCAGGTTTTAAGAGTGACCAAGAGGGAAAAAGAGAGGTGAAGGAAAAGGAATCTGAGAGTGGTTCAGTGGAAGAATAGCACCTGCAGCAGGAAGTGGAAGGATGGGAAACTGCCCCCAATACAAACACAGAAGTGCTTCAGCACAATTTCAGTTGGTGGGATTATGGAATTCAGACTGGGTGACAGAACCAGCATGGCTTCATAAGAATAATGTAACTCTAAATTTGGGGCTCTTAGAAATCTGGTCTCATTTAATTAATTAAATTTATTGAGCACCCACTCTGTAATGAAAACCAGAACGAGAATATGGGGGGTGTCTAATGACGAAAACTAGAAAAGGCAGTGTGTAACTAATGGAAGGTTTTACAGTCCTAACAGCTATGATAGAACTATAAGAACACAAGTTCAAATTCCCAGAACCAAGCTTTTTCGGATAACGTACCGCAGTTCTCACCCGCAGCAGATGGCAAACAACAGCAACAAAATCCCCAAACAATAGCAACAACAACAATAAAAACTCTCCTTGCTGTCTTTGTTTCCTAAAAAAATGTTCTTTCCTTCAATTTAAGCAAATATACAAACCTTGTGTTTAGGTTGTGTCTCCTACTTGTTAAATAGGCAGCATTTAAGTATCTCCAATTTGAACAGAAAAAGGAAAGTGGAGCCCATAGAGGTTGCTGCTTTCCCTAAGTTCACAAAGGATCAGGAGGTGGCCAAACTGAAATTAGAACCTAGGCTGTCTGAATTCCAGCCTAGAGGTTTTTCCACATGACCAGCTTGTATGGAAATGAATAAACAAAGCCTTTGGGGGTGTGAGGGGGCAGCCCAGGGAGGCATGTACATGTAATACTAAATTACCATGCATTACCAGTTAACATTTATGGTTTCAAAACGAGTCCATCCAGAAAGAGACCGGTTTTAACAGTGTCAAGAGCTCTGAGCCTCTCTGTGAAGTTCCCGCTCATTAAAGACTTTCTATTGGTGAAGGAAAGCCAGAGGAGGCGTACACAGCATCTCGCTTTAGCCTTGTGGGACTTGAATATTTTTATCCCTGATAAAAGGTCCCTTTTGTCTCTTGTCTGGACAGCACCTCCTGGACCCCCTCCTGTCCTGCAGCGCATCCATTTGACGATTGTTCCCCCAAAGGGGAGTGAGTCACCCTGTTCCCCCTGTGTTCACATTAAGCACATAGACACAGCTCAGTGTCTGTGATAGTCAGGATTGTTTTGACATGGAACAACCGGAACATAAAGAAAAGCTTAGAGACTTTCATAAGAAACACTCTATCTCTGTGGAGATTTTTTTTAAAATGTTAACTTTTGTTTTGTGTGTGCGTTTGTGCGTGTTTCAGAGATACAGCAGAAGCCCCTTTTGTACACTTCCCAAATCTCATTCCCCACCCTGTCTGCTTAGGTTGTCATGGTCGTGAAATGAGTGTATAGCCTTCTTGCTCATTTTTATGCTTTTATCATATATATATATATATATATATATATATATATATATATATTTGCCCTTATCAGGATAGGCTTTTTTTTTTTTAAAGAAAGAGACATCATTTACATATTTTGTGGTCTGCTTTTTGTTTTTTTTACTAAATATTGTATTTCTGAGATTTGATCATGTGATACATCCATGATCCTTTCTACATCATTCTCATCTCCTGATGTGAGCTATGGTGCATCCTATATCTGACAGTCTTTACAGGATGATGTGTAAATTAAGTAAAAATGCACCTAGCAACAGAGATACAGAGATTCCTCAGCCACAGTGGATCTGGAAGGAAACGAAGCAGAGATGAGATGAGATGGCTTTCTCATTCTTATGCATTCACAAGAGATGAGAAACTCTACCTAAGGCAAGATTTCCCACGCCCTATCTGACACGTTCCCCCCAGCAGAGACACAGCTGGCTTCCCAGTCACATTGAATCAGCCCACGGATCAATATTACCTAGAATTGCCTAGAATCAGTGTATGGATCAATACTACTTTTGTGACCTAAAATTTTGAGACAGGGTCTTGCTAGGTAGTCCAGGTTGATCTCAAACTCAAGATCCTCCTGCCTCTGCCTCTCATGGACTGGGATTCAAACCGTTCACTACTACACCCAGATAGGATCAGTATTACTTTTAAAAAGTTACTGGACAAGTAGGTATTTATTAGGAACACCGTCATTTCAGATCTTACTTATCATGCTTGTTCATATAGCACATCTGATGTTTATGCCCCTGACTCTTCAACACTTAATATTTGAGAAGCTTTTTACAAAAAAACTATACTCTTAAAAGTTGCCATCTTACCCATTTTAAGTGTACCCATCAGTGGTGTTAAGTACGTTCACGCTGTGCAATAGGATCAATATTAGTAAGGCTTATACCCTACCAAAAGGACAAAACGATACTAATTTGAAAAGATATGAAAAGGAAAAGAAAGCTAGGCGAAACGTGTAGAAAAAGAAAAGCAGCTATCCATCGCTTTGAATGAATGCAGACTGTCGTTAGAAGGAAGCATGGCTATGGGAATGCCACCTAATATTCGCGGGCGTTTGAAAGCTGAGGTTCTCCAAGGACTCTTTCAGCTCTCAAATCAATATGTAGAAAAGGAGATGAGAAACCCTACCTAAGGAGCAAAAGATGGGACTCGCCACCAAAACCACAGGTTCCACCTGTTTAGTAAGGTTTTGACAAAGAGGTTGTAAACTATTCCCAGGTGAGTATTCTGTTCCTATCTGCGACTCCGTTTCAGTGTGGAGTGCTGCACCTGGCCAGGTGTGCAGCGTTGCCTGCACCAGGGACCGCAGCACCGGTGACCCCGGGTCCCTAGGAGGGCACACGGGCTCTCAGAGCAGGTGCTGGGGTCTGGAAGTATCAGCCTCCCACGCTTGGGCGATCGAGGGCAGCTCCGCGTTGCAACAGAGGAGACACTGCTTTCTAAGCAGCGCCGAGCTCACTTCAGTCGCAAGCTTCCAGCGGTAGGAACCACCACGTTCGTGCGGGACGCTCAAAGCGTCACCCGGGGCGCGAGCGTGAGAACAACGAAGCGCCCCGCCAACCCTGCGCCGCCGGGTTCCACACGAGAGGCTCCACCGCGCGTGCGCGGCACGCCTGCGCAGTGCGTGCGCGCGCACTCGCTCCGGAGGCCGCGCGCCTCGGC